ATGTTTTAATATTAACCAGATTTTTCGGCCCAAAAAATTGAAATGCAAGTCACGTTTATATACATATATATTTTTTAATCGCATAATTTTCTGCCTTTTTCTATTATACATTTACTTTACATAGCTTATGTCATACCATTTTTGATTATGATGGTATCAATTTTATCTATTGTACGTTTTTTTTTTATTTTATTTTATTATTTTACTCTCTTTATTTCGCACCATGCGAACCTATTTTCATTTGGTACCATCACGATCTTTGTAATATAACTATTACTTTATTTATCATAGACTCCCAGAGTATATATATATATATATATTTGTTATTTATAAAAGTTAGGGCTGTCTCTGATTGCAAATTACTGTTTGAAATAATAAATGAAACGTTCAGCTGAAGGCTGATCGATGCACACACGTAAATCTTTGTCGTTGTATTATTACAAGATTTTATTAGGAATGCCGAGTAGAAAGTCCGGTAACATTTTTATCGCTTTAGAAAGAATGTTTACATTGTCGATGATTTACTACTTATTTGTTAGTCATGATATCCACTTATTTGTTGAATGTCTTATTAATTCCATACAAACTTATCCATATTTGTATAAACGCGCGTAATACCAATAACTACAAGTTATCGATCAATTTCTCATTTGCTGCAAGAGTCGTCGCGAATAGTTCGGCATAGTCTCTCAATTGTTGTGTGGTCTAAAAATATATCGTCCAAATTAAATGCTGGGCCTAATAACGTAAAATATATTTGTCACAAATCTTACCATGAGAGCAAACTCGAGTCTTCCGATACCACCATCTATCACGGTTGTATTCTCATACTGAACAACAGGTTCTTGCGCCAACTCATCGACCTGCTCTTCCACCATAGCAAAAAGGTGTCTGTCCTTTTTGTTGTCGACACTTTTCTTTGTCACTTTTTGTGCTGGTGAATTTTCCAACGCTATAACAGGTTCACGTCCCGTAAAGTCCAACTTTGAAATATTTCTGGCTTTCCGACCGCGTGTCGATTTGAAAAAGGCTTTTTTTACTCGAGTCATTGGAAAACAAAATTGATGATATTTCCCGGTCAAGGCTTACCGCTTTATATACGCTACGCAAATATTTCGTCCGGCCCCGCATTGCAACTTGATTATCATACCACAAAGCATTCCATTCGAGAACCAACAGGATGGCAATTCGAAATTGCTTGATTTACGAACTCACGACCATCAACTATACAAGTATAAAACTCACGAGTATAAAACTTGCTGATTCGTACACTTTGATGCGCAAAGCTGCAGAGTTAGATTTTTGCACAAAATAATTCTAAAGCTTTTCCGGTCAAAACCGACTGGGCCTTGTCCCAATTATATCTGTGGCCTACTCTTTATAGCAAACCAGTTGTTTTTGAAATGCGCCATAAACTTTAAGTTAATATATGCAAGTCGTTATCAAGACGATAATCAATTTTTAATTTCGGAAATAACTAATTAGAGTTTCGGCAAATAGCAATAATCCCTTACATGATAACATGCAAGTTGTTTGTTATTCTAACTCTATTATTCGTATCACTAATAAACTATACTTGCATTTTCTTCTTTTTTGACTCGAGGAAACCGTTCTTCCCTAGTCCACGTAATGAAATCACCATGTCACCCTTTTTTCCCACCCACATGCTAAACGTTAACGCTTTGTTGCTCTATTTGATTGGTCGGAACATTGAGACATAATTGCTC